CCCCCCCCCCCCCCCCCCCGCTTCCTACGCCCCTGACCGTGACTTCTACGCAATGTGCTGAGTCATGCAACTGAGAGATCACACAAGGGACTTAATTCTATTTCCATGAGTTTTGAATTGCATCAAGATCCCAGCAGATGAGCAGAGGCTAGTAGTCATTCATCAGTCGCGTCAACTGAGAGCAGAGAAAAGCTATCTGTGCTAAAATAGTTAGATTACTTCTTCCCGGTTGAAAATTCCGCTACTGGCAGTGGAAAGAAACATTGTTTAGCGATATTTAATAGTATTCCGCTGGTAAATATCAAGATTTTTTTGGCATCTCACCCATTTGAATAATAGTTGAAGGGTATTGTAGATGCAGGTAATTATCGAGTGGAAATTTATACACATTTAACTCATTTATTCGACCTAACCAGGAATAGCTGCGAAAAATGCAACTTTAGTTTAGGTCCCTGGCAGGAATCGAACCTGCGGCCCTGCGATTCCGGTGCAGTGTTCTAACCAACTGAGTTACAAAGGCCTAATCAATGTATATAAATTTCCACTCGATAATTTCCATCTACAATACCCTTCAACTATTATTCAAAGGAGTGAGATTCCAACAAAGTCTCAGTGCTATTTAATACCCATAACCTAACATGGCAGTACTCTAGTACATATACATGAACTTGTGGTTACAGCTCAACAACTGTCTTCTGTAGCTCAGTTGGTTAGAGCGCTTCACCAGAATCGCAGAGCTGTAGGTTTGATTCCTGCAAGGGACCTAAAGTTGCATTTTTCGCAGCTGTTACTGGTTAGGTCGAATAAATGAAACTAAATTTCCACTCAACAATTTCCATCTACAATACCCAACTATTATTCCGCCGGTACGATCGTACAGGGTAACAAAGGGGTTCAGGATATGTTGCCGTTTACACCAGTAGAGCATATAAACTTTTGATCAACTGTGCGTTCAACCTCGTAACGAGGTCATGCGTTTTGAGTGTTTAATGATGATTACGTCATGCATTCGTTCGGCCACCTACAGTGACATGCGCAGTAGGAACAAAATTTGAACGCGATTTCCATATGATTTGAACGCGATTTCGAATAACTTTTATTTAATATTTTTTGGAACGTATCGTCGTCATATTACACATTACTCTATTACTTAGCCTCGCATACATGTTTGAACAGTTTGATCTTTATTTTAATTTATACTACAATTTTCAAATAACTTATTATAAATTACACATAATACACTAAGCTGGATATGATTTATTTCTTGGTTTACGGATATTTTCCAAAAAGAATGGTCAGTAGGTCGGAAAGACTGTCTGACTATGGCATCTGGAGCATCTTATATTTTTATGCATGCCAATTTATATTATGGGATCCCACCACAAGTTTACACGAGCCAGCTGTCCTCACATAGAGCCACGAAATAGTATTATCTTGCATAACTGATATTTTGGATCTGACCCTGATCCTGTGATCCTAAACCCTAACTAGCGCTAACAAGCCCCAACGAACCCTGCAAGATGAAGTACATTCTCACAAAACTACCAATTGTCAGATATACGGCTAAAAACGATCAAGTTGTTGCAATGTTGATGAAAACAGGATTGAACAATGTTTGGCTGCCCACATTGTTCACAGTTGTATATTGTATATTGTATATTAAACAATTTTGTTACACCCGATTCAGGCTGAACAATATCGTTCAATATCGTTGACAACTTGACAAGTGTGAACAATGTGGGCCCCACAACATTGTTCAATCCTGTTAAGTAGCAGGCTCAGCGTTTTTACGCGTGTAGTCGAGGTACATTTTTTATGGATGGTCGGCGGGTCGTTTAACCAGGAAATATTAACTACGATTAAAATCCTTTACACATTTACTATTTTGCCGTCTGCAAGTCAGCTCATGTCCCTGGTCAGACGAATGAAATGGTCTAGCCTGCGTAGCGGCACGAGAATGATCCGGCATCACAGGTTCGTGCGACAATAAGCTGACCAATGCGGGCAATGGGAGAAAATAAACAAGTTAACCTGTACTGTCACCGAAAATTCCCAACTGAACTGTCTTTGACGTTTATGTTAATAGATAACAAAACTACGTTCTACTATACGTTTTCCAGCTTTCGCTGAAAAAACTCCAACCAAATATCTAATAACTATAATTAAACTCCTGCAAGTTCTGTTCACTGCTATTTATAAGGGCATTATCATCTGTGATCGATGTCTTAAGTTATTAAATAATGACATTCTCATATGAACATATAGTTGATGATTTGATCATCATCAATCAATCATTTCATTCAAAGTAAATACCAAAGACTGTTGCAATAGCAAACAATGATGTATTCTGGTATTCCACTGATATATACGTGTCTAATCTCACGTCCCATAAACATCGACTACCAACTTTAATCTCTTGGTTACCCCGTTGTCCAATATGAACAATACAAACCAGTTTGTATCTTTCCAAATTTAGGTCCTTCACTTCTCTTTTAATTATATCTGAAATGCGACTTGTCAGTTGACGACAATTCTCGGCGTCGTACTGCGTATCCCTCAATTCACAACTCAGTATCCTTTCGACAACGTCTTTGATTTTATTTGCTGGGAAGGCGATGTTCGGGACCATCTTGTACGTGTTCTCATATATAATTTTTGTGCTCTCCCCGCCACGATTTGACAGTGCTTTCTGAGACAACGGTGTCATGAAGACAGGTCCTCGTACGTTGATCATACTTGAGGTATTTTCTCTGTATTCTCCTAAAGTAATGCTGGATTTTTTACGCAAGTACCTGGCGGCTCTCTCCTCGGCAGAACGACTTGATGATATAGACTTCATGAATAGCCTCAAGTGTTCATTTAGTGAATAATTATCAGAATCGATGAAAACCACACTTGGATGATAGGATTATAAGGTTACCAAGCGTATTGAGGATACGTCAGATTTGACCTTTTGTGGTCTGTTTGTGTTAAGATATGTTGCTATGGCAACAAACGTCCAGTATTTGGACATATTTGGACGTTCTCATCTTGCTGAACAAATATTTCTAATGCACATTTCAATTCGCTTTCGCGAGTGATTCATTAAAATGAAATTGCCTGGGGAGACAGCTGGCAAATTCATTAAGCAGAAATCATATTTCATTAATTCAACCTGACTAGCAAGCCAGAAAAACAATTGTCTCCTGAATCTAGAGTTGCCATACACTAGATACAGTCAAATTGTCCGCTGATTTACAGAATACACTAATTAAATCACAAGTCATCTGAAGTTGGGTTTTTCATTCTGAGATCAACTAATGTTTAATATTCCTTAAAATATTGATCTATGGAAAGCAAGAGTATAAGATGTGTGAAGCCAGCTGCAACAGATTTTCAATAGCTGTGAGACTGGCATCGAGACGTCATCGGTATATTCTGGCTCGTATTCTGGTATTATTAAGGATTCAATTATCTCATGAGTGACTTATACTAAAGAAATATTTTTCACAATAAGGACTGCAGTGACTCTTTAAGTTCAATTTATAATGGAAATGAAGTGCTAATTGTTTTAGGTTCCCACTAACGCCGGAACCGTTTGCCCTTTACCAAGAAGGCAAGGGGGGCAAGGGTGACCTTATGATTTTACGAAAATATTTAATCGTGTTGTAGACTGATATAAATTATAAAGATAATGGAGATGCTTTGATTCTATAATCACATGCATTAAACGAAATTCTCCCGGTAAAACTGTAGGGAATAATGCATGCAAAACTTATTATAATGGGTTTTGTTCCAACCTCATAAAATTACATGATATTAATCTCTTTACGAAGCGTAACGTAGAAGACAATAACTTTGGACGCAAATATTTAGTGAACTTTCTACAGAAAATGCCAAAAATGCTGTCATCCAGTTTAAAACGATATAAAAAATTTTCGGGGGACCATCCCCAGATCCCCTGTTCTCCTCCGAATCAGTGAGAGATGTTAATAGACATGTCATTGAACGTCTGTTACGCAGGTAAATAGTTTTAACATGGAAGTTCCATATCAGGTAAAATTCCCACTTCCCAACCCTAGATGCATCCAAAACTTCCAAATCCCTCCCCCCTCTTAAACTATCCTGTCAGCGTGTCGACCTCGTCGCAGGCTCTTCCCTGTGGAGGCAAGGGAGGCAAGGAACCTGGGACCGAGGTTGCGTCCTGTTTCCAGACATTTGATTCGAAGTGTCATTATGGAATTATACAATCTGTCAGTGATGTAATAAAATGGAAAGCAAATATCAGCATGACGTGATAAACAAGACTTTAGTATCAACAGGTTGAACCGGCAGACTAAGATAGAAGAATATCAAAGTCAGTGAAATGAGATCTAATTTTTCAGGCAGCTATTCTATCTAACATGCTGTTTATTTTCATAAAATGTAGGGAAGTTTATTCTAAATTACTGATAATTTGCAAGATGTCTTTAGGAAATACACTAATAAAGAAGTTCTTTAGAAATAAAGACAAATGAAATGGGCTGTCAATTGTGGTGAGTTAAAAAGGTAGGTTTTAAGCATCAATTATATATTTAATGAACCACATAAAGATTGAATAAGAGACTAATGACTGACAAACGCCCCTTTTATTGATGTTCGAGCTCGCTGATATGTACCCTGCCCCTGGTTGACAGAGGTTCTCGTATCTTCCGTCCTATTCTCGCTCGTAAATTTATAATACGGCCGGCGGCACAAGAACCTCTGGAACCAGAGTCGTTGATATGAGGTATATATAAACATTTACATTTTGCCAATAGTATACGTGTAAGAGTCAATCGAAGACTGCTCAGTACTTTTTTCAGACACTTCTTTATGGCAAAATATACTGTGACATTTTGTCACTAAAATATCAGCTATCCCCTGTTGTGCCAGACACGCGAATTGCGCAAAATAACAGGGCAAAATAACAGGGTAGAATTGTACACTCTTGTATTTTACTTTTCAAAATGTTCGCCCTTCGCACGGTTTTAAGTACTCTGAAGTTTGAATATAACACTTTCAGGTTGAAGTTCGGCGACCATTGATTATAGTCCTGTAAATTATTAAATGGCCGAGCCCGTGGGTGAACTTTAATTACAGTGGATTTTCAATGTCTTAACATACGCAATGTTCAAATGTTCGCACGGTTCTCGAACGCTTGGGGTGTGATGAAAATTCTGGCGCCAAATTTGTGAATTTTGGCGCAACTTGGCCATTTTACTGAACCAGGAGCGAAACTTCGGTACTACGGCTGGGGGTGGGGAGGAGGGAGGGGTGAGCTGGTTTTTCCCGACCAAAAAGGCGTGGCCAAAGTCGTTCCCGACGGACGAACATTTCAGTCGCTAATTAATATTCCTTTTCCCAAAATTCAGTACATAGCATTCGAAATAATTTACCAGACACCATTTCTCCATTTCTGATTATAGGTTTTTCTCGAAACTTACTTTGAAGCCGTAAATCATGATTTCAGATACTTAATTGCGAAAAAATGCATTTTTAAAAAATCTGAAAAATTTAAAAGATCGGGCCATGATCCAGCCACTGATCTGTTAATGTACTGGATCTATTTCTGTGTGTATAAAAAAGATCAAGAGTATGAAGTTTTTAAACCTAAACTTGGCAATGACAATGAAACCAAATAATAATGCTGAATTTTTAGTTTATATTTGGCTCAGTTAATGAAACAATTTTACCATATTGCATAACGGGAATGGTGAAAATGTCATCGTATAATTTATATTAATACTATACAGGCTGTATCAAAAAAAGCGCAATCCTCGACTGAAATGTAAATTGCTAAACAAATAATAGACGAAAACGTTAAAGTTTACATTCATTTTAAAGCGTAGCCATTCAGCTTTCTAACAGTGGGTTGTTTCTTAAATTTGACTCATTGGTTCGCGGGTAATAATACTTTACGTTATTGCGATTGGAGATTAAAAAAATTGAGATGAAATAACAAATCGTTCTCATGAAAATAACTGACTTTTCATTAAAACAAAAAAATGTTGCATTTTATTAAATGGATTGTAACAATAAGTATAATTACAGCTTTTCTTCCACTATTTTTAACTCAGTTTGAAACTTCAAATGCGATATAATTTGGCTTGGACCATCTAAGCTGACTGACATCAACTTGCTATAATTTCTGTTTACATTACATCGCAATTCGATGACACTCTGGCTCAGACACCAGAATGTTTTGACGATTTTTAGCATTCGTTTAGGATTTTCAAGCAACCTGGTCTCTTTTAAAATACTTTTAATTTGTTCTTACGTGGTTTTCCAGATGTAGTGACGACAACATTAAAGTTTAAAGAAGAAAATTCTAACATTTAAACCGACTAAACAATAACATAGTAAACTTGCATAATTAAACAGCAACTAAAATTGATAGGTTTTACTAAATCTTTTCCTGTGCAATTATTACTAGCATTGGAGACAAGGATATTAGTTTGTTTGAAAGAGAAAAGAACAGGC